TTTCCCTTTATTTTCTGGCTTGAGGAGTGTACAATACACAGTAAATACTGTTTTTATCCTTTATTTAATCTTAGCTCCTTTATCTATTTTCATCCAAACTAGAGTCTTATTTTACACTCTGATCTTATTTGGGAAAAGCTGACCATTTGAGATTTCTGATTCTGCAATTAAAAAAAAGAAAAACAATCCATGGTTCCAATGTGATTACATCTCATGAGGCTCACCTAAAAATGAATATAAAGATTAACCCTTTATGCATGAAAGAGGGAGGTCTTCAAGAGAGTAAAACATCACCACAGGGATTAATCCTGGGATCTAAACTAAATACCTATATTTAGTTCTTAAAATGGGAACAATAATATTTAAGTATGACCTTTGCTCTAAAAACAGGAGTCACTGAAAGAGAAACTGATTTTTCATTGTCAAGGCTGACAAAGCCTTAAGCAACTCTTGGAGGTTTGGCAGAGGTATAATCATAAGTTCCTTTTCTATGAAATCATTTTTTAGAATAACAGTCTAGTATATCTTCCTCTACTATTATTGTTAGAGAAAACAGAAAAGAATACTGTTCAAACAGGAATGGAAGAGAAAAAAATCAGGTACCAAAAAGGTTAAGGTTTGCACCAAACGTGTCAGTTTGTAATTACAATTCTAGCATCATTTTTTCCTGGTAAGAGAGAGAAAACTATGGATGCTACCAAGAGTTTTGCACTTGGTTCAAAGTTGCTTTATCTCTAACAAAATTTGTAACTTTTAATAATTTCAATATCCACAGAGATGATTCTCCATGAAGCTGGCCTCTGAGTTCTTTGTCTCCCTTTCCTACAAGAACTGTGTTCTCTGCTCTGCTTCAACTACTTACTCCCATGGTGCCCTAGAACTTGTCTTTACTATAGTTGCACTCCTCCACATGACTACTAGCCCATAGCTTTTCAGCTCATTCTCTCCAATATTCCAGTTCCATTAATTTTTCAAACTCACCAGGCATGTTGATGCATTGAACCTCTGCACCGTCCCTCATCCCCTCATGTGGAGGAAGGTTTTGAGAAATGAGTTGTCCTCACGCATGGTTCTGGTGATATGAAGGGGAACAAGAACACAGATGTTCAACCTGGCATGACCCGCAAGCTGGCATACAGAATGTCTTGGAGGCATGCCACCAAGAATTGAACTATCTTGTTTGTTCCTTGGAGTTCACTAGAGGCATGGAACGGTCTTGGTTATAGAAACACTTGAGCCCTAAGTAGCTGGGAGTGTAGATGATTGATAACATTTGTTTTTTGCTTTGGATGCATTACTATTCACCCTCATTCTTTTCCTGTTTAATAAATATGATGAGAAAACCCTGCTCAGGGCTCTTCAGCCTTGTGCTACTGAGTCCTCTGCTCCTCATTTTAGCATCCAGATCAGTGATTAATCTTTGTCACCATTCACACTACAACACCCTCACATTCTCATTCCCAGGATGTTTGAGGAAAGAGGAAATACACTTATGCAATTTTTCACTTTTTCCTCAAATTTCCAACACCTCATCACTCTCTGCTAATAATCTTACTTCCTATTCCATTGAGAAACAGAAACAATCAGAAGAAAACCTCCAACTAGACCCTCCACTGACATCTTCCAAACTATTGGCATCTGAATTCATATACTCTTACTTTCCCACCAGCTAGGATCTTCTCCTCAGGAATGTATGCACACATATAATTTTTTTTTTAACTCCAAAGGATTCGCAGATCTATCTTAAGTTTATTCTAAAGCCCCAGGTTAAGAACCACTAATTAAAAGAATGGTCTGTTGTAATGTCATATTCCCATGAGTTAAATGAAGGTGGCAAGAGACAAAGGAACATTGGGAGGATATTTCATTTATTTCACCTAAAAATAGGATAAGCTTTGTGGAACAGTGTCCAATTAAAAAGGTATATATCGGGAGCTGATTGCATGTCTACTACTAGGCAAAATTTAGTAGAAGAAATGTTGTTTGGTATGACAGCAAATATCCACCCTGTAAATTACTTCTTACTTTCAAAGGTAAAAATATATATTTAACCATGGGAAAAACTGTCAACACTTTAATCAACTGATCAAATTTATCATCACTAGTAATGGGACAAACCTGACATTCAACAACTCCTAATATGTGCAATATAAATTACACAGTATATTCTGGGAAGTATCCTTCCCAAATATGTTTAATCTCAACTACTCAAGCCTAAAGTAACTTGTACTTTATAGGAAATACAAGGTCTAAAAAAAATAAATAAATATAATTTTAAAATTCAGGAGGGTATTCTTCAGGACAACTTGTAGGGAACCACCCTGCCTGGTATCAGGGACTGTAACCCCACATGAGCAAAGTCTGATCTGTAAGTCTCAATTGGAAAAACAGGAATGGCCAGTAGGCATGAACCAATATGGGCACAAGTGGCATGCTGGGGAAATCAGGCCTGAAGAATGCATTGTTTCCTTTGAAGCCTCTTCTGCTAAGAATATTTTTTAGTTAATCGAGTTAATGTGCACTAGATGTTTAGGTTCAAAGCACAAGGTTGTTCTGACCATCTAGTGTCATACTAACAGACCCTGATTTAAGGAGACCCCTATGTTCTTTCAATTATTATTTCTGAACAATATCTATTCTCCTTTGATCAATGCTATGTGATATTTATTGATGAGCTATAGGTGCATGCTGTGTAGCCCCTTACTTGCTGAACTCAATAAAAGCCTGGGGGAAAAGGAGATCAGGGCCCTTCTCCACTGAGAGATTGGTCAGCCTTTTCTCCCCCAGCAGATCTTGTACTGGTAGATTGATTTCATCCGCAGCTCTGGGGAACTTTGTGGGATGAGGTGCCCCACAAAACTGGCTTGGTTTCTTAAAAAAAAAAAAAAAGGAGGAAAGAAAAAAAAAATCAGCCCTGGAGGAGTAGCTTAGTTGGTGGTTGGAGCACAGTGTTCTGATGAGTCTTCAGGGAACATGAAGAAGGCAACCAGTGAATTAATGACTAGGTGAGGTGACAGGTCTATGTTTATCTCTCTCTTTCTTGAATTGATAAATAAAATTTTTTTAAAAATGAAAAGTATTTGAGGGGGAGTGAAGATTAAAAGTTTTCGGTTAAAAGAGACCAAAGATAGTTAAAACCTAACTGCAATAGGCAATCATTGATTGGATCCTGGTTCAAAAACAAACTACTATAAATCAAATCTTTACTTAGTGTCACCTATAGATTCTGCAACTTTACTTGAAATTAAGTATAACAAAGCCACAGGCTAATTGATATAAACAAGAGTTAAGTACCTATGACAACTCATCATCATCATTATCACAAAACATTACTTAAGGACCCTACTGTACATACAAAAGGCACTTTGGGGACAGTTGGGGAAATCTAAATATTGACTGAATATTAAATATTAGAGAATAACTTAATTTTTTTAGGTATGATAAAAGTTTTGTGGTTATGAGGACAATATCCTTACAGGAGATGTATAACAGAAGTACTTAGAGGTGAAGTGTCTTAATGTGTACATCTTATGGTTCTGACAAAAACAAAACAAACACAACCACACGCATATGTACACACAAATATATAAATAAAACAAATATGACAATTTTTAAATCCAGGTGATTGGCATATGGGTGATTCTGCGCTTTTTTTGTTTACTTTTTTTGTTTAAAATGTTTAGAGTAAGAGGAGCTCCAGTGGCGCAATCGGTTAGCGCGCGGTACCTAAAATGTTAAGTAAGAAATTGGAGACAAGAAGACATGTGTAGACAAACCCTACCGATCTTTAACAGTCCGTTTTATGTTTTACCTACTTCTTGGAAGGCTTTCTTGCTGATTGCATGACAAACTGAGTTCTCTTTTCTGAATTTCTCTGGTACTTTCACTATGAATTTAGCGTTTGACATTCTGCATTGTACCTATTCTAAATAAATGTTATAAATTCCCAGAGAACAAAGTGTAAGGTTCTTGCAGGATAGTACAAAAACAGGCTATTGAAATTAATATTATAATGAGATTATGGCCGGCTTTTGGTGGGCAAAAAAGATTGTGAAATCAGTAACAAGATTTAGGTGCGAGTGTTGAGAGCCTAAACTTAGGGTAGTAGCAAGAAAAATGGAAAGTCCTGGGGACCTGGGAAACATTTACATTCCTGGCTTTCTTTTGGGGTTTTTATTAGCTTTCACAAAGGATATCCAAAGCTGGACAGATTTACAGATCCCTGAGATTTGTAACTTCAACAGCTTTCCTCTCAGAACTCAGGGTCTAATGGCAAGAAACGGTGACTTGAAGCATAACACTTCAGGCGGACACTCACTTTCAACATTCACTGGCTATGCCAACTTTTTTTAGATGGGCTCACGTTGCATCCTTATTTACAAGGACATTCTCCACGCTCCATTACGTGGGCAGTAATAACTAGCCTCGGTAATAGTTGGAAAGGTCGAATTTATCCCCGCGATTAAATTACCCGGCTTCTTTACATTTCTAAAGCACCGAACATCCTTTTGTTTTAGGTCCAGCCTGTGAGAGTACACTGTGTTTTGATTCATTAAGCAGGAACAATTTAGGTTTGACAGGTTTCCTGAGATAAATCAAATTGAAGCACTAGGCGACCTCTTCGCCCTAAACCTCCGACCGAGGCCGCGAGCTCTCGCCCAGATTCCGGGCCTGCCCCGCACTCGCCCGCTTCCCCCTCTTCCCAAGACGCGTGATCGCTCTCCCAGCCCCAATGCAAAGCCATTTTCCGGGCTAGCTCTCCCCGTAGGGCTGTCAGCCTCAGCTTCCCCTAGGAGGGCGCCGCGTGCGAACTCAGAGGGCCGAGCGGAAGCAAAGTCTTTCCGGTGACCATCTTCCCGAAGCGCGTTAAACCCCGTGAGGACATCGCAAGGACAGCGGAGGAAGTCTCCGAGCGAGCTCACTAACGGCGAGCAAGCACGCAGCCTCGTCTGTCCTTTTCCGGTACCGTTTTCTCCGGTTACTCCTCCCCCGCCTCCGACCCCACCCACGCCTAAGTGGGTGGTCCGGGTTGTCTACGCCCACAGAACCTTCCAGTTTTGGCTCTACGGGGTGGGTGGAGGACTGAGTACTCAGAGAGCGAGTCAACATGGCAGCGTTGTTTAGGCGAAGCTGCGGGGTGAGTGGGGGAACAGAGCTGAGTGGGGCTGGAGAAGTTGGGGTCTTTGGGGAGTGGGCTGGCGCCGGGGATGGGTGTCGCCTGGAGAGGGCGGGTAGGAAGCCGTGGTGGGGAAGGAGCCTTCCTCGGGCCGCCGTCGCCCTCCGTACTTGACCTTCGCCTGTGGGCTGCGATTCCAGACTCTGGCCTCCTCCTCTCACGGTAGGACAGAATGTCTCCCAGGTTTTGCCTTTACAAGTCAGCAACCGCCCCCCTCCATACGGTGGCATCCACTTTTTAGAATATACTTTTTATTTCTTTGGTCTGCACCCTCAGCATATTTCTCCCAGGAATCCCACACTTTCCCAAAGTGAACCTGTCTCTGAATCGGGGCGCGGTCCGGGGAGCGCTGTTTTTGTCGGAAAAACGTTGCCTAGTAGCTCTCCATCCTAAACCCAGGGAGGGAATCTTAAAGTAAATGTCATCCTGCCAATTGTTGTGTACTAGGAAGTGGAGAATTCAGATAGTCTTATCTTGGGGGCCTGCAAAGTCACGGGGAGAAAGAAAATGGAGCTTCAGCTCCTTGGTATACTTGATATGCTTAATAGGCTTTTGGTTTTGCAACATGGAGGAAGATGTTTCCACGTTACATACGTTAAAAAAAAGAAAAAGAAAAAGAAAAATCTGCAGAATTCTCCTTGAAGTTTATCTGTATGTATTCTAGTGTTGTGTTGCACTGATTCTAAATTGTCTTAGTCACTACATGCATTTTGCTACCTTAAATATTACTGATACAGTTCACACAAGATTGTCTTTAAACTGCCATATATAGTTGCGTTAAGAAAGTTATGTTTTTGACCAAATAGGTAGCAGTGATAGAATTTAGAATAATTTCAATGGATTATTACCCCATATTTGTCATTGTCATGTAAGTTAATGGACTCCGAAGGTAGAAATTGGGAGGTTTTTTTTTTTTTTTTTTAATGATTTTCAACTCTGACACCAGAAGAAAAACAGATTTCTCAATCTGGTCAGTGAAGGATATAGAAAAACCTGATGTAGAAAACTTCTACTCCTGTATCTCTTTGACATTCCTGTAAAGCTAAGAATCTTATATTCCTCAGAAATAATATAAAAACTGTATAATTATAGTTGTGCTATTTTTGCAGAGTTGATGCTTGATTACAGTTACTGTCTTTTGGGTAAGTACAGGCGCTAACAGATTGCGCCACTGGAGCTCCTAAAGTTGTTGTCTTTTGGAAATTTGGAATTCTGCTGATCTGGGCAGAGAACCTATTGTAATAAATTTAGTATGGCACTATGCGTCCAAAACATTATCCTGTTTTAATCATCTCAACAAATGATATTTTCTTTTCTTTTTTTAAAATTATATTTTATTGATTATGCTATTACAGTTGTCCTGACTTTACCCCCTTTGTCCTGCCTCCACCCAGCACCCCTGCTCCCTCATGCAGTCCCCACACCATTGTTCATGTCCATGCCTTTAAGTTCTTTGGCTGCTCCATTTCCTATGGTGTACTTTACATCCCTGTGGCTATTATATAACTATTTCTACTTCTTAATTCTCTCACCTTTTCAATCATTCCCACACATCCCCCTCCTATCTGGCAACCATCAAACTGCTCTCTGTATCTATTATTCTGTCTCTGTTCTTATTTGCTTAGTTTGTTTTTTAGAATCAATTGTTGATTTGTATTTTTTGCCACTTTATTGTTCATAGTTTTGATCTTCTTTGTTTTCTTAAATAAGCCCCTTTAACATTTCATATAACAATGGTTTGGTGATGATGAACTCCTTTCATTTTTTCTTTTCTGGGAAGCTCTTTATCTGTCCTTCGATTCTAAATGATAGCTGTGCTGGGTAGAGCAATCTTGGCTGGAGGTTCCTGCTTTTCATGACTTTGAATATTTCTTGCCAGTCCCTCCTAGCCTGCAAAGTTTCTTTGAGAAATCAGCTGACAGTCTTATGGGAACTCCCCTGTAGGTAACTCACTTCTTTCTCTTTCTGCTTTTAAGATTCTCTCTTTATTTTTCACCTTTGGCATTTTACATATGATGTGTCTTGGAGTGGGCCTCTTTGCATCAGTCTTATTTGGGACTCTCTGTGCTTCCTGGACTTGCATGTCTATTTCCTTACCAATTTAGGGAAGTTGTCTTTCATTATTTTTTCAAATAGATTTCCAATTTCTTCCTCTTTCTCTTTTCCTTCTGGCACCCCTGTGATGCAAATGTTGGACCTTTTGAAGTTGTCCTATCCTCATTTTTTTAGATTCATTTTTTCTTCTTATTGTTCTTATGGGTGTGTTTTGCTTGCTTATGTTCCAAATCATTCATTTGATTCTTGGCTTCATCATCTCTACAGTTGTTTCCCTGTAAATTGTTCTTTATTTCAATTAGTTTATCCTTCATTTCTGACTGGATCTTTTTTTATGCTGCTGAAGTCCTTACTAAATTCTTTGAGCATCCTTATAACCAGTGTTTTGAACTCTGCATCTGATAGATTGCTTGTCTCCATTTTGTTTAACTCTTTTTCTGCAGTTTTGATTTGTCCTTTCATTTGAGCCATGTTTCTTTGTCTCCTCATTTTGGCTGCCTCCCTGTGTTTATTTCTGTGTATTAGGTAGAGCTGCTTTGACTCTCTGTCTTGGTAGTGTGGTCTGTTGTGTTAGGTGTCCTGTAGGGTCAGTGGCACAGCCTCCCCTATCTGGGTATTTGAGGTGTGCTCTTCATGAGGACTGAGTACACCCTCCTCTTGTAATTGAGCCTCGGTTGCTGTTGGCAGATCAATGGGAGGAATTTACCCAGGCCAGTCTGCTGCAAGAATTGGCTGTGACCATTTATCACCAATGTCCACCCTCTGTGGAGGATCAGCTGTGCAGGGTCAGAGTGGTGATGGTACTCTGACCTGGTCTGTAGCTGTCCACTGGGTGCTCTGGCCTTGAGGTTTCCCCAGGTGGTGCAGGCCAAGTTCTGCCCCTACCTGTGTTTTGTCCAGGGCTACACTGCCTGAGCTATAAAGGGATCTGGGATGGCAGCTACTTGTGCTGGGCTCGGAGATTCCCAGACAAAGCCAAGCTGTGAATCTAGACTGGCTGCTGTTAGTACTGGTCCTGGGAATTACTGAAGCCAGCTATTGCTTGTTTGAAAGAATTTAGGAAGTTGTGAAGCAAGAGCCAAGACCAGCCATTCACATGGAAAAGCAGCTTGGGTGGGCCCTGTAAGTTGGGTGGGGCTGAATCTCTGGGGATCTCCAAGGTAGGTCAAACAGTGTTAGCCAGGATGATGGAGTCTCAGATATAGCAGCAGCTTGCTGGCGCTGTGGGGGGAGAGTATAGAAAAGGGACAATGTCCTCTGCTTGCCTTGATGCCCGGCACTTCAATTTCTCCCTGTATACTGCTGGTGCCTTTCAAGCTGCTGCCCCATTGCTGGTGCTTAGAGGGAGTGAGTTGAAGTAGGTGAGTCTGTGGGGGTTCTTTAACAGGAACTGCTTAGGGGTTTTAGCAGTTTCTTCCACCAACTAAATCCCTGCTGGTTTTGATAGCCAGAAGTTGTGGAGACTTATGTTCCTGGCTCTGGAACCCTGGGCTGGGGTGCCTGGTTTGGGGCTGGGACTACCTACTCCCAAAATACCCCTCCTGAATTTTTAATCCACCATATATGGGTGAGGGACTAGCGTATTCCACATTTGCACCTTTCTAGCAGCCTGGATGGATGTGGTTTCTTTAATTCCATAGTTATCAGACTGCCATTCAACTTGATTTCTGATTGTTCTGAGTGATAGTTGTTCTATATTTTAGGTGTAATTTTGATGTGGTTGTGCAAAGAGGCAAGCCATGTCTGCCTACACCACCATCTTGACTGGAAGTCCATTCGATAATCCCTTTTCAAACCCTATTTCCCAGGTTTGAAAAGAAGTACAAGTTTGTAATCAATCCAAGTTCTCAAAAATATTGTATAATCTCAACTCAAACTCAGTTTTAGTTTGGCAATTCTAACTCCAAATAGTGTAGTGTTCTGTATTGATGTCTACTAAGTCACTTCTCTAGTTAAATGACTAACATTAGTATAAAATTAATAGGCCATTGGACAGCATTCCCTGGCTGTAGCTACCTTTCCCCCCAAAATCACATTAACTTTTTGTGAAGTATTTTTAAACCTAATATACCCTGTTTAAAGTCTCTCAAAAAACCATTTTACTTTTTTTTGTGTGTGAGGTCTAATTTTTTGTAATGGTGTCTGAACATGCATTGAGAAGAGTCAGGTTTTTTGGTCTGATTGTTGTGGGATGTCTTTCTTCTTTATAGAACCTGATAACCAATTCGGAGACTTGAAACAGAAGGAGTGATATAGCAAGGTGGTTGATGGCATGGGTTCTTAGTAGTAAATATTAAGAGTTAGAATCTTGGTTCCGCTACCTAATAACTGAATGACTTTGGCCAATTTTATTTGACCTTTGTGAACCTCAGTTTCTTCATGTGCAAAAAAGGAATAAATATAGCGCATTAATCCTAGGCATGACCTAGAGAATAAATGAATTAATATGTGGAGTGTAACTATAAATAAGAATAGGTTTGGTCTGTGACAAGTAGCTAACAAGGACTAGAGAAACCACGTTTTACTTCCAAAATTAATGAAAATTGCAAAGAAATGTGATGTTTCATATAGTGTATTTTACTTTTTCTAAATTGTATAAAGTATATTGTTATTTTGAAAGGTTGTTCTCTACAAGTTAAAGTTGTTCTCTACAAAGTGGGCAGTTTCTTTTTATAGATTTTGAAAAACATAAACAAGTTGAGTTCTTGATCTTTTAGTATATTGTTCAGTTTTTCTTTCAGTGCCTAACTTACTAGATTTGCCTAGGAACAGCTCCATCAGAATCCTTTGAAATATAAATTGTAACTTTGGCTATCTTCAAACATTTCTCAAGAGTTATGTGGTTTTCCGTGTGGTAATTTTAATAATAGAGCTGATTACTTTTTTTTTTACAAATTGTCATGAGTATAAAAATGTATTGCAAAGGAATGTTAAGTGTATATCTGATTATATTTTTAACATATTCCTTTGAAGAAATATGAGTTATAGGGTGGGACAAAAGTAAATTTACAGTGTGAGTACATGAAACAGTTTATTCTATTATTATTTATTGTATTAATTTTTATGCCAAGAACTTTAAATTTACTTTTGCCCCACCCTGTATTTCAAATATTAAAGCAAGTAGTATATTAATAGTTTGTAACAATTGGCAAACTTTAAAAAGTTAAAAGGACAGGTAGTACGTTTTGGCTTGTGGACCATGTGGCTTTGTGGCAACTGTACAGGTTTGGTGTGGAAGCAGGAGTTGACAATGAGGTGTGGCTACCAATTGAATGTAATTTACAGGATTGGTGTCTGCCATAATGTGCTGACTCCTGGCTTTGACCATTCTAAAAATGCTTGTAGACAACAGCAAACAATAAAGAACATGGTTTTAGGCTGTTTTGTTACATGAAATGGAGTGAGGTATATTAGAAAATGCGGTCCTCCAAGTAGGAGATTCCCAGAGGCATACCTGGGAGGCTCACAGGGACAGGGTATCAAAGCTGATGGATTGGGCATCTCTTGCACACAGTACAATACTGTTCTCTTGTTGCCGTAACCTCTACTCAACCACAGGTATCCCAGACCTCGTAAGTAAAATATCTGGAATAACAACTCTAAGTCTGCTACTAATCCTGACGGTTATTTGCCTTGGAAACACTCCACTTTAGTAGTGATTAGTTTTATTTTCATTGCTTAAAAAAAAATTTTCCTTTTTGATAGGTGTTCAAGTACCTGGGAATTGGCTTATTTAATATAGAAGTCAAATTATAGCTGAAGACATTTAAATAATGACTCAGAAAACTCTGCTGAGTGGTCAGACAAGTTGCTGTACTCATAACTGTCAGTATTCTCTTACTTAATTAATGTTTAATTTATCAAATAAATTTTAATGAAATTGTTCTTTACAGGTCCTGAGAAATCTTTCTCGTTTTGACTGGAGGTCACAACATACAAAAGCTGTCGTAAAGCATGAACAAGGATTGGGATTCAGTTTTGGTATATGTTTTGTTCTGTCCTTTAACTTTAAACTTGAATTTATTATATATATATGCAGCTTTATATATGTATTTGTCTGGAATATGTTTATTTAAAAAAATTTAGTAATGTCTGTCAATGAATAGAATCAGTCACTACCCACACGTCCACAGTTAGTCACACACCCATTCTTCCTGATCTCGTTTTCCTCTTTAGCATGATTACACTACCCATAGGTCTATGTTAGCAGCATACATATATTCCTGCCCTTCTTTCTAAGTATATAACACAAAATAAATAACAGATTTACTGATACATATGAATAGTCTTCAAATTAGAAATTTGAATGTAACAAATACTTCTTAAACATTTATTAGATAAACAGTGTTAGGTGTCTGGTAATAAGTCAGAGCCTGTATTGGTCATGATATGTCTGAACTGCAGTTTTGGTGCTAGTAGATGTGGTTTTCAGTTGTGGGCCCAGGAATCCATGTGGTGTTGGAGCAGAAAGGAAAACGATTTCCTTTACCCTTTCCTCTCTAAAATAAAGATCCCAGGCAAAAAGTTTGAAATGATAATTCCTGTCTTTGGTATCCTTTGCCGCCTAACGTGCTTCTTTACAGATTATTGTAATACCTTTCCTCTAGTTAAAAGCCCATTTTTTTTAGTTCCCTTGGACTCAGAAAGTAGTTAAAAGGCAGCTAAGATAATTAACTCACACCCAGGTAACAAAAGCAAACTTATAGCTCTCTAGGCTTATTATTTTTGTTTTTTTGTTATTTTTAAGATTGTTGGCTTCTTTATAAAGTTTTTAAAAATGGAATTAAATGAAAATTTTCCAGCGATGTTAGGAAAGCAGTTTGGGGTACTGGATCTTACTAATTCCTTGTTCAGATATTAGCATAGGTTTGGTTTGACTGCTCTCTAGTTTATCACAGATTGTAAGAGTCTAGCAGCAGAAATCTATGGTGGTTTGCTGAATGACAGAGCATAGGACAGATACAAGTATTTAGGGAAGGAGACTGAAGCTCAAGTAAAGGAATAGGGTAACACCTATGACCAACTCCATTTGGTTCTTTATCTGTAAAATGGGGATAATAACTACAATATAGGATTTATTTGAAGATTAAATTTACATGTAAAGCTCCTAGCACATAGTAGTGGCTGGACCAGTGTTGGCTCTCAGTAATAGATCCCTGCTTTTTCTACTGTTTACCCACCCATAACCTTGATATGGACTGACCCAATTTTTATTTATTTATTTTTTAAAGATTTTATTTATCTTTAAAGAGAGGGTAAAAGAGGGGGAAAGAGAGGGAAAGAAACATTGACTAATTGCCTCTGTGAGCGAAACATCGATCTTTTGCCTCTCACACACCTGACCTAGGCATGTATCCTGACTGGGAATCAGACCAGTGACCTTTCAGTTCACAGGACAAAACCCAACCCACTGAGCCACACCAGTCAGGACCTAACCCCAGTTTTAGAAGTAAAGTTATAGGCAGAGAACTCTGAACTGAAACTCTTAAGTATATTTTCACTGCTAATTTTATTGTAAGTCTGTGGGGCTGTCATTTCCTCATTTTGAGGATTTTGTTTCCTTTTCTATAAAATGAGACTTGAATTTAGGCTATTTGGTTCAGCACCAGAATTCTAGTGTCTGTTAGATTTTACATCTCACATCCCATAAAAAATGATTATTATAATCTTAAGCATTCTTGCTCATTACTGCCTCTGTGCTTTTGCTCTCATTCTTCTTGCCCAAAATATCCTATATCTCTTTTAAATTTTACCTGTCCTTTGAGATTGGATGTAACCACATTAAAACCTTATGACAGTGTGGGTTTGAAAAAAGTGCTGTAGTGATTGGCTCCTGTTCTCAGTCTAGACACCATATTCATGTTCCTAATTTTATAATAACACAACCCCGTATTTTATGTAAGTGAATTGTTTAGACATCTTACAGCATTACAGCAGAGTTTTACATCGTTACTTTTCGAGACACATTTTTACCACTTATACCAGTTGCATTCTGCTGATTTATAAATATAAAATTCTGAGTTTAAAGGAGGAGCAGAATTGAAGTAAAGATACTAATTATTTTATGATATTTTGGAACAAGTTTTATGGTTTGTGATCACTGAACATATCCCATATCCCTAGTAAGATTGATTTTTAATACCAGGGCATGTCTTATGTAGTTTTATTTAGATGTTAGTAAACATTTCATAAATCTGCGTAGGAAGTAGTTAAAAATTAAAAAAAAAAACCCAGACATTTAGACCTCACCAAGTAGAAGAGAAAAGCTCAAGTTTGTATCTGTTACTTACTTGTGAAAGCTAGAAATCTTACCTAACTCCTTTAGCATAGATACATTTATAGTGTACAGTGAAATCTTGATTAATTAGAAAGTGCATAGGTAGTCTTTGACTTTGTGGTTAATCAGGAGTTAAAATCTTTATTATAAGCATAAATTTCCACATACTCATTGCATAGGGCTTTTTCCCTCAGGTCATTGTCTTATTTTGATGTTTTCTAAATAACTTTCCCTTAGAGTTGACTGAACAGCAGAAAGAATTTCAAGCTACTGCTCGTAAATTTGCCAAGGAGGAAATAATTCCAGTTGCTCCAAAATATGATAAAACTGGCGAGGTGGGTATATACATTTGTAAAAAATTTTTTGTTTCTCAGTTACAGTTGACATATGATATTACATTAGTTTTAAGTGTACACCCCAGTGATGAGACATTATATAACTTAAGTGATTATTCCAAGTATTCTTGTACCCATTATGACACCATACATAGTTATTAGAATATTGACTATATTTCCTATACTGTATTTTACATCCCTGTGACTATTTTGTAACTATCAATTTGTGATTCTTAATCCTTTAACCTTTTTCACGCACGCCCTCACCCCCTCCCATCTGGAAACCATCAAAATGTCTCTGTAACTATGAGTCTGTTTCTGTTCTCCTTGGTTCATTTATTTTCTAAATTCAATTTTTGATAGGTATGTATTTATTGCCATATTGTTTATCTTTCTTTTTCCTTCTTAAAGAGGGCTCTAACATTGCATATAACACTGGTTTGGTGAACTCCCTTAGCTTTTTTTGTCTGCGAAGCTCTTTAAGGGTAATTTGATTCTAAATGATAGTCTTGTTAGGTAGAGTAATCTTGGATATAGGTCCTTGCCTCTTACCATTTTGAATATTTCTTGCCAATCCCTTCTGACCTGCAAAGTTTCTGTTGTAAAATCAGCTCACAGTCTTTTTTTTTTAATGTTCACCTGAGGACTTTTTTTCTCACTGCTTTTGGAGACAGAGGAAGGGAGGAAGAGAGAGAAACATTGGTGTTAGAGAGAAACATAACTGGTTGCCTCTTGTATGAGTCCTGACCAAGGATCAAACCTGGAACCTGGGTATGTCCCCTGACTGGGAATCGAGCCATCAGCCTTTTGGCATACCAGAAAATGCTCCAGCCAACTGAGCCACACTGGCCAGGGCTCAGCTGACAGTCTTATGGGAGCTCCCTTATAGGTAAACTAATTGCTTTTCTCTTGCTGTTTTTAAGATTCTCACTTTGCATTTACCCTTTTGGATTTTAATTATGATATATCTTGGTGTGGGCCTCTTTTGGTTTTTGTTTGTGTCCTAGATTTGTATTTCTATTTCCTTCACCAGTTTAGGGAATTTTTCTGTCATTATTTTTTTCAAATAGGTTTTCAATTTTTTGCTCTCTCCCTTCTCCTCCTAGCACCCCCATTATGAAAATGTTGGTATGCTTGAAGTTGTCCCAGAGGCTCCTTCCACTCTCCTCTTTTATTTTTGAATTTTTTTTTTTTTTGCTTTTCTTATTGGGTGTTTCTCCTTTATATTTCAAATTGCTGTTTTGAGTCTTGGCTTCATCAACTCTACTGTTGATTCCCTGTAAATTATTCTTTATTTCAGTTAATATATCCTTCATTTCTAACTGGTTCTTTTATTTTTTGGTTTTCATGTCCTTTCTTATGCTGTTGAAATTCTAAGTTCATCTACTTTTCCCCTGAGTTCATTGAGCATCCTTATAACCAGTGTTTTCAACTCTGGACCTAGTAGGTTGTTGTGTCCATTTTGTTTGGTTCTTTTTCTGGAGTTTTGTTCTTTTCCTTCATTTGGGTGATATTCTTTGTTGTCTCATTTTGGCAGGCTCCCTGTGTTTGTTTCAATGTATTAGGTAGAGCTGCTGTGTTTCCTGGCCTTGGTGGAGTAACCTTATATAGTAGATATCCTATGGAGTCCAGGGGCAAAGCCTTCCCATTCGCCTGAAGTAGGCAGTCCAGATGCCCACCTCGCCACCCTGTGTGGCTTTATATATCCTCCTGTTGTAGTTGAGCCTTGATTGCTGTTGGCACATGAATGGGAGGGATTTACCCCCTGGTCAATTGGCTATAAGACTGACTGTGACCACTGTGGAGGATCGGCTGTGCAGGTGCCCACCTCACTGAGCAGGACTTACTTTAGGGGAGCTCTGGTTCCCACCAAGTCTGACCCCTTAAGTGTGTCACTTGTGGAGGTGGTTGGGTGGCTTTTTAATGTGATTTGAAACTGTACACATGGTGCACTGGCTCTGAGGCCTCTAGGAGGTACAAGCCAAGGTCAGCCTTCACCTGTGTTCTGCCTGGGACTATCTGACATGACCTACACAGTGATCTGCAGAAGGCTGCTACTTATGCTTGGCTTAGAAATGCCCACAAGCAGCCAAACTATGAACGATAGCTGGCTGCTGCTAGTGCTAGGACTGGCGCCACTTACTGGGGGGTACGGGGCACGGTGAGGCCAGATGCTGCTTGCCTGAGAGAGTGTAGGAAAGTTTGGAGTGTGAGTCAGGACCAACCACTGGTATGGAAAAGCCACTGGAAACAGTGTGGGTGGGCAGGGTCCCAGGGTCTCACTAGGGTGAGCCAAACAGTTTATGGAGATGCAGATATGGAACCCTCTTACCTGCTCTGTGGGGAAAGGGCTCAGAAAAGGAATAATAGCTTCTGCCAGCAGTTCTTGTTTTTTGTTTGGTTTTCTGTAATATATATTTTATTTATATGCTATTACGGTTGTCCCATTTTTTTTTTTCCCCTTTATTTCCCTCCACCCTGCACTGCCCCTCCCTCCAGCATTCCCCCCACTGCCCCCTGGCGCAGGTCATGTACATAGGTTGTACATATAAGTTCTTTGGCTTCTCCATTTCCTACACTATTCTTAATGTCCCCTGTCTACTTTGTACCTACCATTTACAGTTCTTATTCCCTGTACCTGTTCCTCCATTCTTCCCCCTCACCCTCCCCTCTGATCTACATTTCTGTGATTCTGTTCCTGTTCTAGTTATTTGCTTAGTTTTTGTTTTTGTTTTTTTTAGGTTTAGTTATTGATAGTTATGAGTTTGTTGTCATTTTACTGTTCATAGTTTTTGATCTTCTTTTTCTTAGATAAGTCCCTTTAACATTTCATATAATAAGGGCTTGGTGATGATGAACTCCTTTAACTTGACCTTATCTGGGAAGCACTTTATTTACCCGTCCACTCTAAAAGGTAGCTTTGCTGGATAGTTATCTTGGATGTAGGTCCTTGCCTTTCATGACTGAAAACTTTCCAGCCCCTTCTTGCTTACAAGATTTCTTTTGAGAAATTGGCTGATAGTCTTATGGGAACTCCTTTGTAGGTAACGGTCTCCTTTTCTCTTGCTGCTTTTAGGATTCTCTCCTTACCTTGACACTTGGGTAACTTAATTATGATGTTCCTTGGTGTGTGCTTCCTTGGGTCCAACTTCTTTGGGACTCTCTGAACTTCCTGGATCTCCTGGAAGTCTCCTTCCTTTGCCAGACTGGGGAAGATCTCTTTCATTATTTTTTCAGATAAGTTTTCAATTCCTTGCTCTTCCTCATCTCCTTCTGGCACCCCTATGATTTGGATGTTGGAACGTTTAAAATTGTTCCAGAGATTCCTAAACCTCTCCTCGTTTTCTTGGCTTCTTGCTTCTTCATTCTGTTCTGGTTGAATGTTTATGTCTTCCTTCTGCTCCCAATCATTGACTTGAGTCCCAGTTTCCTTCTCTTTACTGTTTGTTCCGTGTATATTTTTCTTCCTTTCACTTTGCATAGCCTTCATTTTTTCCTCCATTTTGTGACCATACTCAACCAATTCAGTGAGCATCGAGATCACCAGTGTTTTGAACTGTGCATCTGATAGGTTGGCTCTCTGTGCATCGCTTAGTTGTATTTTGGGAACTTTGATTTGTTATTTCATTTGGGCCATATTTCTTTGTTTCAGCACACCTGTTACATTGGAAGGGGCAGACCCTTAGGTATTCTCCAGGGCAGGGCAACTCAGGTCACTGAGTTGTGACTCTGTGTGTGGGGGAGGGGTCGGAGAGGGAATAGTGGTGCTTGCTCGGCGGTTGGCCAGCTTTCAGTCACTTTCTCTGCTACCCACAAACAAATTGGGCCCTTCTGGTGCTGATTCCTTGGTGGGTAGGCTTGTATATGTTCTAGGACCCGGTGGGTCTCTCCAACAGAGTCTCCTATGAGATTGGTAGTTTCTCCTGCTGCCACAACCCTCACAGGTTATTACCTCCAGAGGTTTTGAGGCTTTCTTTTCCTACACTGGAACCCTGGATTGCACGGTCTGTCTCACTCCCCAGCTGTTTCTCCTGGTTTATCCACACACAAATATGGGACGCCCAGTCTGCCAGCCGTGGCCTTGCTGTGTGTCCCCTCCGCCCTGGCTTCCAGTCTCTGCCCCTCCTACTGGTCTGGATGAATGTTTCTTCTTTAGCTCCTTTGTTGTCAGACTTGCACACAGTTCAATTTTCTGGCAGTTCTGGTTATGTATTTGTTTTTAAATTTGTTGTTGTCCTTCTTCGGTTGTGTGAGGAGGTGAAGTCTGTCGACGTATGCCTCCATCTTCACCGGCCTCTGTCAGCAGTTTTGTCTGGGGGGAAGTTGCCCTTCTAGCTCTCACCCTGATGCCAGCCAGTTCACTTTTCCTGTATGTCCCTGGTGCCTTTCCAGCTGCTGGCGCACTGCTGTAGTTCAGAGTGAGCGAGCCAAAGTAAGTCTGTGTACAGGTCCTTTAAGAGGAACTGCCTGCAACTCCAGAAGCCCTCTCTCTCCCTCAGCCACAACTCTTGCTTAATTTTACAGCCAGCAGTAATGGGGACTTGTCTTCCAGGCACTGGAACCCTAGGCTGGTAGGCCTGGTGTGGGGCTAGGACCCCTTGCTCCTTAGGGAGGGACCTCCAAGGTCTTGATAACCCTTCTGATTTTCATCTGCCATGCTTGGGTATGGGAGCAGCCCCTTCTACATCTCCACCACTTCTACCAGTCTCGATGGGCTGCCATGTTTAAATCCCTACTTGTAGGACTTCATTCTGCTAGATTTTAAGTGGTTCTCAATGGTAGTTGTTACATAATTTAGTTGTAATTTTGGGAGGATGCTAGTACTGCATTTACCTCCACCTTTATCTTGACCAGAAGCCTCTATGCATTTTAAGGAGAGAAAAATCTTCTACATTTTTTGCACGACTATGTAATCAAATATCTAGATTTTTAAATGTAACTGGCTATCTTCTTTAATTTTTTTACTTTCTTCTAGTACCCAGTCCCCCTAATTAGAAGAGCCTGGGAACTTGGTTTAATGAATACACACATTCCAGAAAGTTGTGGTAAGCTTTCTTCACATTTTTAATCCTGGAATGGATTATGAACGAGAAAATATTGTCAAACTACTCATTCTTTCGAGTATTCATTGCTGTTAAATTTTGGCTTTCTAGCTTTGTCTTCCTGTTTAGAGTTCAGTATTTGCCTGCTTCTAGAAGCCTAGTACTCAGCACTTAGAGGCATTTTTTTTTTTTTCTTTACAACAGATTTCAACTTTAACTTGATTCTTAACCTTGTTAACTTCTATCTCTAGAGCTGGTTAATTTATTGCATTTTAATTCTACCTTTGAGCTTAAGTGTTACTGATACTTTTTTCCTGCCAGGTTATCATTCCTTTACTCAGGTAAAAAGTCATAGTTTTAGTAGAGTTGAATTAATTTTTTACAAAATCAAGTTGAAACAGGAAAACAGGTTCAGATTAAAAATAGCAAGAGAGGATTTTGGAAATTTTTAAAACTTACTGTAGAGAAATATAATTTGTTACTGTGCTAACCATAGCACATTTTTAATTTCTTGGGTTATAGAAACTATTTGCAAATTTGATTTTAAAACCAGTTAGATGATTGCATCTTGGCCTTTTGGCTAAGACTAAATGTGGTACCTGTTCTTATTAATCAGTTTAACATCTGATAATGTCCTCTATCCGAGAACAAAACATCTGTGGAACTTTGGAGCAGGGAGATGGAAATGGGGTTTGCTCTGTTCACACTGCACATAGACCCAGTATAGCTGCCTTCCGGGAACAGTGCATACCCTCTGGGACAAAAAAACAAAATAAAATAAATAAAAATAAAATCAATTAGATTAACATTTTAATTACTTCCAGTTAGGTCATACTGGAAGTAATTAAAATAATTTACCTTTATTTAAGTTGAGATGTACTACATATTATCATGGACTTCTAATACATTTTGGTACTATAGGAGGCCTTGGACTTGGAAGTTTTGATTCCTGTTTAATTACTGAAGAATTGGCATATGGATGTACAGGAGTTCAGACTGCTATTGAAGCCAATTCTTTAGGGGTAAGTTACATAGGAAATTAATTGCCTAACTGAGCTGTTGTTAATGAGACAGTAGTAGTAGTAGGTTAGTTTAGTTGGTAGAACACAGTTTTCTTTTAAAGGAAGCACAAGCTTCTGCAGTGAAGCCTGTATTTCTTATTCCAAAAGTTGATCATGCTGGCTTTGTTTATACTACATGGAGTCCTAGCTATCCTTGTGGGGAAACTGTACACTTTGGCCACTGCTTCAAGCCAAAACCAGCATTCAGGAGAAGGATCTTGATGGCAGTGCTAAGATTTAGTGAGCTGTTCTTGAGAAGCCTGATCATGTATACCACGTTATTTATCCTAAATTTAATTCTTTACATAATACAGTATTATACCAAGTTCTGTATAATTTAATTTTATGAAAATACATACATTAACAGATTTATTTTCTTGTTTTGGCTTTCCAACATAAAGGCAGAATAAAGTGCAGTTCTTTAGACTTATTTATTGGGGGAAAATAGTTCTCTATTTTTAAATTGTAGTATCTGAATCTGCATACATAATAAAAATATCTTATTTTTTTATGTCACTTTTCTTTGATAGCAAATGCCTATTATTATTGCTGGAAATGATCAACAAAAAAAGAAGTATTTGGGGAGGTTGACTGAAGAGCCATTAATGTGTGTAAGTATGTGCAGCTGAAGTTACCAAAGTATTTAGGTTAGTATTTTAGGAGAGAAATAACTATTTAATGGTGTACTCTGCAGTTTAAGAACTGAATTTCTGTGTCAGAAATTCAGCAAGAAAGATCTGTTCTCTAGACAGATGTTACCCTGAGGGAATATTCTCCACACAGTCCCCTATACATACACACACACACACATACTAGGGTTCTATTTTGAAAGTGTTTTTACCTAAGGATTTTTTTTTCTTTTTGTTATTAATCAAACTTTAGGGTGTAATTGTGATACTGAAATAATAGTAAATTGTTACTAAAATTGAGCTAATTGTGAGAGTTGATGTGAAAGACTAGAAAGTAATATTTGAAAATAAATGTTTTTATTTATTCAGGTACCTAAATTTTGGGCAGACTGCCTAATAAAGACACTTATGCATATTTCCTAGTTAATGCGTAATTTTTTTCAATGCATGAGAGTTTATTAAAAGGCTACTACCCAGTACTATATCAAAATTGTGTGAAATATCTAGAGTCCTATCCTGTAACATATATAATATTAGAAACTAGCTAAAAAATATAGAATATAGATGCTTAAGGGAACCTGCCTTACTGCACTGATAAGAATATTTGAAATTATCTTATTAGTTATAAGTAGGTATTTCTAGAATACTAGAATCTTTAAAAGCAATTCAAGTATCTTAAACAATTTTATCAGTTTTGTTAGATATAAATACCTTCAGTATATGTAAAAATACATTCATTATAATCTCTAAGCTATTCTAACTTCTGAATTAGTAAAGAATTAATGTATATTTTGACCTCCTAGTGCACAATAGTAATAGATCTGCTCAAAATATGAAGCCAAGGGTAAAAATGAAAATAGTCTATAGGTATATTAATTATATACCTATTGATTAACTTACACTGAGATTGATTAATATTTATAAAATTATACCACATATAGTAATTTATTTAAATTTTTACTACTATATATTTTAAACTTTTCTGATTGTAGAGAGTATAAAAGATTTAGAAAAGTATGAAGAACAAAAACATCTGTAATTCCTTACATATGAAGTTAACTAGTTATTACTGTCTTAATGTATTCTGTATCAGATTTTTAAATACATTTAAATATGTTTTTAAAAATTAGGGTCATATATGTAGTTACATCCTTATTAATATCATAAGCATTTTCTTATGTTACATTTCTTTTTAAATACTACAGTATTTATTACTGTATAATATGTCTGTTGATATACTATAAATTATTCCACTATTCCCTATTTTTGAATATTTAAATTCCATAGATTTTTGCTTTTAAAAATAATGTAATTTTAATAATTAATACAGAAAAAGTTGATACAGGTTTTTGGTTTTAACTTTACAGTACAGGTATATTGTTATTATGTATGCATAAGACTTAATCTCTTACCTAATCATGTACAGTCAGATATACAGAAAAAAATAAGGGCAACACCATAATTATTTGTAATACCATATAGTGCAAAAAATTTTTCCAAAAATCATAACAAATTGTATTATTGCATACGTATTATACACATAAAATATTAAAATAAGTAATTAGAACTATGTATCTTTTTTAAAGGTTGGGTTAAATCTCTTAAGCAGGATATACCCAAAATTTATGCAGTATTAAAGAAATTAGAAGCAAATATTAGCCTATAAGGACAAGCTTGTTATGGGCAAGACATTCAGTGAACTCATATTTTTTTTTGTGTTAACATTTTATTTTTTAAATATATATTTTATGGATTATGCTATTACAGTTGTCCCATTGTTTTCCCTCCTTTATTTCCCTGCACTGCCTCACCCCCCTGCATCCCCCTCCTTAGTTCACGTCCATAGGTTGTACCTATAAGTTCTCCGGCTACTCCATTTCCTATACTGTACTTTCTGTCCCCATGGCTATTCTGTAACTCCCTATTTGTACTTCTTAATCTTCCTCACCTCTTCACCCATTGCTCCATACCCCATTCCCACCTGGCAACCATCAAAATGCTCTCCATATCCATGACTCTGTCTCTGTTGTTCTTGTTTGCTAAGCTTGTTTCTTAGATTCAATTGTTGATAGATATGTATTTTTTGCCATTTTATTCATAGTTTTGATATTTGTTTTCTTAAATAAGCCCATTTAACATTTCATATATATGGTTTAGTGATGATGAACTCCTTTAGTTTTCTTCTTGTCTGGGCAGCTCTTTATCTGCCTTTCGATTCAAAATGATAGTTTTGCTGGGTAGAGCAATTTTGGCTATAGGTCCCTGCTTTTCATGATTTTGAATATTTCTTGCCAGTCCCTTCTAGCCTGCAAAGTTTCTTTGAGAAATCAGCTGGCAGCCTTATGGGAACTTCTCTGTAGGTAACTAACTGCTTTTCTCTTGCTGCTTTTAAGATTCTCTCTTTATCTTTAACCTTTGGCATTTTAATGATGATGTATCTTGGAATGGACCTCTTTGCATTCATCTTGTTTGGTGCTGTCTGTGTGTTCTGGTCTTGCGGGTCTATTTCCTTCACCAGATTAGGGAAGTTTTCTTTCATTATTATTTCAAATAAATTTGCCATTTCTTTTTCTTTCTCTTCTTGTTCTGGCACCCCTATGATGTGAATTTTGGAATGCTTGAAGTTGTCCCAGAAGCGCTTTATGCTATCCTTGTCTTTTTGTTCTGATTGGTGGTTTTTGCTTCCTTATGTTCCATATCATCGATTTGATTCTCAGCTTCATCCACTCTACTGTTGTTTCCCTGTAAATTGTTCTTTATTTCAGTTAGTGAATTCTTTGTTTCTGGCAAGATCTGTTTTATGCTGTTGAGGTCCTCACTCAGTTTCTTGAGCAGCCTTATAACCAGTGTTTTGAACTCCGCACCTGATAAATTGCTTATCTCCCTTTTGTTTAGTTCTTTTCCTGGAGTTCTGATCTGATCTGTTCTTTCATTTGCACCATGTTTCTCTGTCTCCTTATTTTGGCAACCTCCCTGTATTTGTTTCTGTGTATTAGGTAGAGCTGCTATGACTTTGCGTCTTGACAGTGTTGCCTAATGTAATAAGGTGTCCTGTAGGGTCCAGTGGCACAGCCTACCCTATCACCTAAGCTGGGTATTTGAGATGTGCCCTTCATGTGGTCTGAGTATACCCTCTTGTAGTTGGGCCTTGGTTGCTGTTGGCAGATCAATGGGAGGGATTTACCCAGGCCAGTCAGCTGCAAGGACTGGCTGTGACCACTGACTACCAACCTCCACCCTTCGCTGGGTGGAGGATCAGCTGTGCAGGGGCAGGGTGATGGTGCTTCATTGTGGCCTGTGGCTGTCCTCTGGGTGCACAGGCTCTGGGGTTTCTGGCCTCACCTGTATTCTTTCCAGGGCTACCCTGCATGAAGTATAAAGCAGTATGAGATGGCTGCCACTTGTGCTGATCTTAAAGAGTCCCAGGTGAAGCCAAGCTGTGAATCTATGCTGAGTTCTGCTAGTGCTGTGACTGGAACTACTTAGCAAGGGTTAGGGGGTTGATGGGGACTGGTCACTGAAGCCAGCTGTTGCTTGTTAGTTAAGATTTGGGAAGTTGTGAAGCATGGGCCAGACCAGCGATTCATATGGAAAAGTCATGGTTCATAGTTTGGGTGGGGCTTTAGGTTGGGTGGGACAGAGTCTCATGGGATCTCCAGGGCAAGGCAACAGTGTTAGCCAAGTTGATGGAATCTCAGAAATGGCTCTAGCCTGCCAGCTCTGTGTCTCTGTGGAGGGGAGGGCTCAGAAAAGGGACAGTGGCCTCTGCCCACCTTTTTGTCTGGGAGAAAACTATCTTCCACGTCCCACCTTGTTGCCAGACACTTCAGTTCCTCTCTTTATACCACCGGTGCCTTTCAAGCTGCTACCCTGGTGCTGGAGCTCAGAGGGACTGAGTCTGTATAAGTCTATATTTGGGTTTTTTAAGGGGAACTGCGTGGGACTCTACAAGTTTCTTCCACTGACTTAATCTCCGCTGGGTTTTGCAGCCAGAAGTTATGGGGACTTATCTTCCTGGTACTGGAACCCTGTGTGTGCGAACCTGGTATATGGCTGAGTTTCCTCAAGATACCCCTTCTGAATTCTTATCCATCACACTTGGACGTGGGACGAGCCTGTTCCACCCCTCTACCCCTCCTACCAGTCTGGATGGATATGGTTTCTTTAATTCTACTGTTGTCAGACTTCATTCAACTTAATTTCTGATGGTTGTTCTATATTTTAGTTGTAATTTTGATGTGGTTGTGCAAAGAGGTGAGCCATGTTTACGTATGCTGCTGTCTTGACCAGAAGTGGACTCATTTCACACTTCTAACTTATAAGTTATACTTACAACTAGGTTTTTTTGTTGTTGTTTTGGTAAGTGGAAAGAATAGAGCCAATTTTATAGCCCACCATTAGTAATTATCTGAACCTCAAAGTAAGTGTTGTAATTTATTTTTCTTCTGGTTTTATCTTTATGTTCACTTCACTCTGATTTTTTAAAATAGTTTATTTTTTATTGTATTTTTTCCATTACCATTTATTCCCCTTATGCCCTCTTCCACCTCCAACCACCCTACTCCTCATCCTGTTGAAAAAATATGTATTATATAAACTACCTCAAGTCCCTTTAGAGTGGAAGGTAAAAAAAATAGTAGAGAATAAATGCAACGTTGCTTTGTGAAAAATACAGATTTAAGGTTGGTAATATTATCACTAATAAAGTTGTAATGTTATACTCATTCATTCAAATATTGAATACTGTGTATTGGGTAGACTGGGAATAAAATAATGACTAAGACTGGGCTCCTATTCACAAGAAGTTAATCTTGTAGATCCTTAGATCTTTTCCTAGTATGTATTAACTTATGCATAGAATTATAGAAAATAGTAAATAAATTCATAAATAATTACGCTTGAAAGAGTGCTATTATAATGCTTGGTTTTTCTAGTTTGCATGGCAACATTTAGGTTTTATAAGCCAAGCCGGTTAGAATAGTGAGGATCACAAATGCTAGAGGCATTTATTTTGTAAAACATTTATTGATAGACAATAGGGATACCAAGTGGCTCAAGAAGCTCTAATAAGGCTAAGGGAGAAACATGTGAATGACCCTAATACTCTATATAATACAATATAGTGTGATAAAGAGGAGAACAGTTACAGTGGTAACAAAAAAAGAAGGCTCCCACTGAAAGTGCATTATATAATTAATTTTAATTACTAGGAATGAATCAAATAAGAACAATATCTCTGAAAAAACAGCCATGACAAGCCATTTTGTATAGAAGTATACAGACCAATACACTTCATATGCTCTAAAAACTGCCTTATTATAAAGCCGAGAAATGTCTAATAACATATTTCAGGAAAACAAAATTCCCAAAAGTGGGTAAAATAAAACTTTGGCACTTTAAAGCATTATCTCTTCTGGACAGTTCATTTGTGTAATACCTCTTTTGTTGTTGTTGTTGTTGTTATGATATTGAAAACATACTGGAATCTCTAGGTAGGAGAGTAATCAGTCTACTTAACTTATGTGACACCTGAATCCACTCTATCGCACTTGGTCAGAAGGCCATGTAGCTTACGTTTTCATGCCTGGGAATCACAACGTCCTGAAACACTCCATTTGGGAGCCTCTCTAATCATTAGAAAACTCTTTTAGATGCCATACTCCTGAAGAAAAGGACTGTGCCATTTCTGTTTATAATCTCAACACCTCACACCGTAATAGGTGTTCAGTAAAAGTTTGAATGATTTCACTGTAGTTTTCTCCTATCAGTTGAGACTCTCTCCCTTGGCTATACAGTGTTTTGAATATTTGAATATAACTATCATGTGGACCTTACCTTTTCTAAGTTATTTATATATATAAAGTTTTTTCATCTTCATTCAACACAATAATGTCTCATCACCTTACTGATCACTGACTCTAAAATATTCTAGAACTAAATACTGTACTTCTGCATAGTCTGATGAATGCAGAGTAGGATGGTCCATCACTCTTATTTTTGATACTGTTATAAATATAGCTTATATCATTAGCACTGTTGCTTTATATAAAGCTTACTCTTCCCTTAACTTACCAAATCAGCTTCCCCATCTGGTGTTAAGTTTTGGTATATTTACTTAGTCTACTAATTCTGTAGTTTTAGCACTGACTTCTCCCCTGAGCTTTACCTTCCTATATGCATTTGTCTTTTAGACATTTCTTCTTGGCTAGACTTGAATACCTTAAACTAAATGTATCTCAAACCAAATTATGTTCTTCCCATTCTTTAGAACTGCTTCTCTTCTAGATCATCTCTAATTGGAAGTAGCTTAAACTGAAAAATTGACAGTCATCATAACATCTTCTTTGGCTCCCCAATATCTTATTTAGTCATCACATCTGAATTTCACACCACAGTTCTCAACTCCAGCTTCTCTTCTTCTCTAGCTTGCTTCTTTCTTGCCTGTACTGTTTGCAAAGCCTCCTAATGTGTGTCCCTAAGTCTAGTCTTAGGTAGGTACTTCTGCCACTTAGTAGCTCTGTGAACGTGGGCAAGTTATTTAACCTCACTGTGCCATTTTACGTCATTGTAAATGCAGATACCCAATACCTCTGTCATGGGGATTATTTTGAGGTCTAAATGAGTCAAGTACTTAGAACAGCCTCTGGAAGATAATGAGTAATTATTATTATCTCCCCTTAAATTGGTCATTTATACTTTAATGATCAACTATCCAAAATGTAAATGTCTCACTCTCCTGCATTTACAAAAACATTCACTGGTTCCAATTCATCAATGGCAGTTGTACCTTTTACAGTTTCTGAACCTATTTTAGAATCTTACATCTTCAGAAAAATACATATACTCCTCATTTTTCCACACTAGGACATTCTGTATTCTCCTGAAGCCTATGTACTTGATTCCTTAAGATTCCATGTTACAATAACAAGTGTTCCATAAACTTTGTTGAATACACAAACTGTATTCTTAGCATGGCATATACCTCAGCGCTCATGACCGGGTCCCTTTCTGCCTCTTCACATGGTTTTCAGTTTCACTCTTTACTTTCCAGTACTGAACTGCTCTTAGTTTCCCCTGTACGACTGCTGTTTCATTTTTTTTATGCCTTCAATCTTCTTGCCTTATTTATTTGTACTTCAAGATAATGTCTCTTCCAATGAATTTTACTTCTTTTCACCCTCCTTAACACTCATGACCTCTCACCCCCTACAGGTCTAAATAATCATTTCTAATGTCCCTGTGTACTTTGTTTAATTCCAGATGTACTTTGGAATTAAAATGAACTTTTAAGGTTTATCTCTTCTTTGGATTCTAACTACCTTAAGGGCAAGGGACTTGTGTCTTTGGGCCTTGTATCCACAGGATCTGTCAGTCAGTAAACTTGAATGAACTTCAGCTACCCAGTGCTCTTCTCCTTCTACCCCCTTTTTCTATTACTGCTTATCTTTTATCACTCCTCTGTTTAAGAGCCTTAAGAGGCTCCCCTCTTTCTACCAAATAAAATTTTAACTTCTGTGTGTTATGTAAAGGGTTCTTTGTCATCTGTTTTCTTCCTTTCTTTCCAGGCCCGTTTCCTACCATTCCCTTACATGCAGCATTTACATGTTATAGAACTTGGGTACTTTTGTATTCCAAACATTGGGTAATCCTGCTTCTTATTGTGGTATCATTGAATATGTTGTTATTTCTTCATGGAATACACATTTCTCCTTTTCCCTACCCCCAAGGAATTCCTTTTCCAGTATGAGAATTTAAGCATTGCCTCTGGGAAGCTTTTCCTGACATACTAAAGCTAAGCTTGTTTCTTAAGCCTTACTTTAATAGATACATAATTACAATATAGCAGTCATCCCCACTGTTGCAATGTGAAAATCTTGAAGACAGGATGTTTTTCATCTCTGGCTTTCCCATCTAGTTTATAGTGGTACATAGTGGATACTACTTACTAAGTTTTTGAATGAGTGAGTACATGTGAAATTGAATTTAACTTGGTTGAAGAGATCTAACATTTTCATTTTTAGTATGGTTTACTGGTATCCTACATCAAGCTTAAATTCTATATTAAATAATCTTACATTTGAGCAGTTTATTTAATTCCCCAAGAACATTTTAGTTTTAGGTATTTTAGAATATTTCAAATACTGGATTATAAAATAAATTATACTCCTTATTCTATGTACATAGTTCAATACTTAGCATTAGTTTTTTTCTCTTGTTTCCATATATTCCAGGCCTACTGTGTAACAGAACCTGGAGCAGGCTCTGATGTAAACGGTATAAAGACCAAAGCAGAAAAGAAAGGAGATGAGTATATTATTAACGGTCAAAAGATGTGGATAACCAATGGAGGAAAAGCTAATTGGTATGTTGTTTAAATATCTCTGTATATTGTTTCTTAATTATTTTATATTCAGAATCTCCCCTTTGTCCTTTCCTTTATTAGGAAACCACCAGAATTAAGTTTTATTCGTAGAACTTATGGAAGGTCCATAAAAGGTTATAAGTAGTTCAGTGATTTTCAAAAGCTATTTTTAAGCTCTGAACTATGCCTTCAAGTTAACTCTCAGAAGTTTAATTTGTAAAATAAGACAGAAACACCCGCTCTGGTTGAATCTGATTAGGAAAGCTAGAACTCCATCTGTTGGCCTCACTGTCTCCTCTTCCCATACCCAACACCAGCTCTTTCCTGGAACCGTTCCGCTGAGACTGAGGAGGAAAGAAAACTGTTGACAGCACATTTCTCCAACTCTGAGCAATGAGTAATGGCAGTCTTAAAACTCAGGTTATCTTTTAGAGGAGACAGAATTTTACTTTTATAAAATCTAAAAGGTCCAAATATGTAGGTCCAAAAATAATGACATGAAGTTCAACAAAGGATCAAAAATCACTTACATAAATCTAGAACGTTGAAGGAAAACATATTTGATAGTATTATTTGTGGAGGAAAAAAGATGAAAGTTTACTTAATAAGTAATTATATGTTTAGTAGGAATCAACAGTGTGATGTATCTGCCTTTAAGAAGCTAATGTAATTTCTTGCTAAAATACAATAGGAAGATAGCATCAGCAAGAAAGGGAAAATGGTAACCGTTCTGGGCAACACATTTTAAGACATGCATTGGCAAAATGGAATATTCAGAATCAAGAAAGGGTCCTGCATTAGAAGGAGCCTATAAAACACATGTCCTATGAAGAGTAAAGGAATTAGGTTTGGTTAGTTTGGAAGAATTTGAGAATTTTTAAATTATGTCACATAGAAAGAAAAGCGGTCTTGCACATGTGCTTCAGGAAGCCAGCTTAGAATTAATGGGTAATGGTTAGAAAAATGCAGAATTCAGCTTAACATAAGGACAAGCTTTCCAACTACAGTGCTGTCCAGTGACTTTACTCATCTGCAAAAAGAAAAAAAAAAAACCAGAAAAACAGGGTTCAATGTATCTGTTTGCTCTGCAGTGCAATTTTCTGGCAAGTAAAGCATTACTTCCGGGAATGAGCTTACCAAAGTGTCATTTGTTTTACTTTGAACATGTCTATCAGTCCCTTGAACGTGTATAATATTATGGATATCATTAAGTACATGATCATAATATAGCAGGTAATTAAACTATTAAAATGTAACAGGTTGAGGGAAATCTAACCATGAAATTAGAAGTGTTCATAATTTTTAAGAACTCATTAAGTACAACTCTTCATGTAGTAAGACAAATTAGGTAATAGATGAAACTAAAATCAGTTTTTACTATACTTGATCTTAGCTAAAAGGCCAAGAAGTGATAGAAATCAATTTTTACTATGTATTACTATTATCAAGTAAAACTATAGAGCGAATGATAGTTTATTAGTTTTAAATGTAGAAAATAAATTTGTTGTTTAAGGAATTTTTAGAAAATTCTCATACAAGGGTATTTAGAACATGGGTTACAAGGGTATCTGGATGTTTTGCCTTTTTCCTCATGTTTCATTTTAATGTCTTTATGGGATAAATTCTTTGAGGGAAAACTCAGCAAATACTCATAATAATTTAGCTGTAACAAAAACACTAACTGCTGCATAAAGAGGACAGTAGTCAGAACATAGTCGCCTCTACCTCATAGATTCCTTTTCACAGGCAACCCTACCTGCTGTCCTCTTCCAGATTGCTTGTTCCTTAAAGAATTGACTTAGTTTTGGGAAAGAAAAAGTGCCAGTTTCAACATGCACGTACTTTCTTTTTATATTACATTACCTTGATATAAGGAATTTTTACTTGCAACTTGTATACTAAAAGAAGTTAAACACCATATTAATTAAGAAGTAGACTTGCCCTGGCCAGGTAGTTCAGTTGGTCGGAGCATTGTTCTGTACATTGAAAGATTGTGGGTTCGATTCCCAGCCAGGACACATACTGGGGTTGTGGGTTCAATCCCTATTCAGAGAGTGTACCGAAGGATGCTGATCAATGTTTCTTTCTCACGTTGATGTTTCTCTCTCTCTAAAGTCACAAACATATCCTTGGGTGAAGATTTAAAAAAAAAAAAAAGAAGGAGGAGGCCTGACTTGAAATACTACCTTTGCCACATTGTAATTACGTGACTTTACTTTAGCAAGCTTTTAAACCTCTCTGATTCTTCATTTCCTCATCTGGAAAAGGGATAATAATATTGGAATTTTTGGGAAGATTAACTGAGGATAACAGTTACCATGTATTGTCTACTAATATCATTGTCTTTATTGTGTTTTATGTATATATTAGGTATTTTTTATTGGCTCGTTCTGATCCAGATCCTAAGGCTCCTGCCGGTAAAGCCTTTACTGGGTTTATTGTGGAAGCAGACACCCCAGGAATACAGATTGGAAGAAAGGTAAAGTGTATATTTATCAGTGGTTAAGGCCTCAAATATTATTTGAACCAAAAATTTCAAAATTACCATTTTGGTTTCCTTTACTGAAAACATTTTATTAAGTTGGAGTAAAAATAAAGCTGTGTTTTGATGTTATCAAATCAAATAGTCTATATATTGCTAGAGATTTTAAGGTGAGAAGAATCATTTCACATCATTATTTGAAAGAATGGCCATTTATGGTGCCAGTCTCTGTGAAATGCTAGTAACAGTTGTGAGGGATAACGAAGCAGAAATCAAACAATTATTTATAGGGCCTGCCCAACAGTGGAGTTTTAGATATTTCGAAAGATTTTCCCACTTTCTTTCCTTCCTTTTAGCAACCTCTCAAGTAGGATAAGTGACATTTATGCCTATTTTATGGATTAAAACAATGTGACATAAATTGATTACTCACAGCCATACAACACAAATATAAAAATCTATGCCTAAGAAGAGTATGGAAATGGCAAAGAGCCTTGAGTGAGGGAAGGCAAGAAAATTTTTATTTAAATAAGGAAAGGCATTTTAACATATCTGAAAAGTATTGTATTCTGAATGTGCAGAGAAAATTTAGCAGTAACATTTCAAGTAAACTAAAAAGAAAAGTTTAAATTTAACAAATCAAAGAAGGAAAGAAATGAAGTCCTTAAAGTAGACCTAGTGAGAGCTAAGGAAGCACGATGTAAGATTATAACTCTGAGAACAGGAAGAGGAGATTGAATTTTACAACTGTATAAAACTTTCTGCAAAATGAATTTGTGAAAGAGAAAACCACGAATGACCCATTAATGCTGAGTTACTAAAGGTTACACAAATATATTACTTACCTCTCAAATGGGCAAAGGTACAGATTATCTGGTCAGATACGAGACTAATAGTGGCATTAGCCTTTCCTGAACTGGAAATTGACCAAGTTACATAAACTTCTAAACCAGTAATGTCTATTTGTATAATCCTGTTTTAAAAGCCATCAGAATCTCTATTGTACCCAAACCTCTTTAAAATAGAAACATTTTGCTGGATTTCATGAGAGGAATAATTTCTGTTACAGGATGTAGAATATTAAAGGTGGAAGATAATCTCTACATTATTTCAGTCTGTTTACAGAATATTGCAGCTGAGATCCAAGTAAACTGACTTACCCAGAGTTACATATTTAGAGGCAGAGTTGAGATCAATCCTAATAAGAACCTGCCCAGTGCAGTTTCTGGCACTATGTATTTTCTCCTGACAGTAGATATTAAAGGTAGACTGTACTTTACAAATAAAAGTGTAATGAGATTGTTATATATAACAGATTATAAGTACTAAGAATGCTTGTGCTTCTTCTAAGCAATTGGTTTGTTTTATTTATATTTTATCCATGTTTCTTTTTTAGGGATGGTTGCTAGGAAATTCAGGGCAAAAATTATGGCCATCTCTAGAAAGTGTAAAGGACCTAACAGCTTATACTTTTTAAAGTAGTAAACCCACTTTTGATTTTATCTTGCTATATCTAGTCTCATTTTCTTTTTTTTCTCATTTAAAAAAATCTCTAATTCAATAAATGTGTATTATTGAGTTAACACTATATGCTAGGCGCTATTAGTGAAACTGTATGGCCCAGAACAGACATAAATCCCTGTGCTTGGGGAGCTTCCTTTCTAGTGAGAGAAACATAATTATATTGTATATAATTAACCTCCTTAAATCTTTTTTTTGAAATATTGGGCATTTTGTAAATTTGTGAAATTTGATGAGTTTCAAAATGTTTTGTGTTCTAGAAATTGCATAGCTTGAGATGAAGCCAGGAAGCTTTTTGGTTTTAAATGTTCTGGTGTTTGAGGTGATTCTGGAAAATAGGAAAAATAATGTTTTCATGAACAGTTTTCTCAGTATATCTGAGTGAAGGGCTAAGGTATTAGAGTTTATCAAGTCTTAGAAACAAAATAAAGAGATGTTGATTTTTCTGTCAAACTTTATAATATTGTCACCATTTCCTCAAGCCTGGAAGCAGATTATTAATATTAAAGCAAGTAAATTAAAGAATTTGTTTACACCTGGCTGGTGTGGCTCAGTGGATTGAGTGCCAGCCTGCAAACCAAAGGGTTGCTGGTTCGATTCCCAGTCAGGGCACATGCCTGGGTTGCAGACCAGGTCCTCAGTAGGGGGCGCATGAGAGGTAATCACATTAATGTTAAAAAAAAAAAGAATTTGTTTACAGCTCTATATTCCCATAGCCCACACTTCTCATGCTGCTTATTAAAAACAAGATTTTTTTCTTTTCTATAAGAAGGGTCATAATGTCTGCAACTTACTCTCAAATAATTCAGATACTTCTAATACTTAAACATACACACAACTCCAACACAGAAATAAAGCAAATGTGGCAAAATGTTGAAAATTGGCGAATGTGGGTAAAAGGTATACTATTGCAGCTCTTCTGTTGGTTCGAATATTTTCAAGACAAAAAGTTGAGGGAATGTAACTCCTTTGGCAGATTCTTATAAAGTTAAATGTGCACTTACTACATACCCAGCATTCCTAGGTATTCATCCAAGAGAAATGAAAACAAAAACCTATACATGAATGCTTATAGCATCTTAACTTACAATTGATAAAAACTGGGGTAGGTAGGGGGTGTCCATCAACTAATGAATGGATAACTGATATATGGTGCATCCATATAGGGGAATATTACTCAACAGTAAAAGAAATGAATTACTGACCAACAGCATCGTGAATGAATCTCAAAAACACTATGAAAAATGGAAAGTCAGACACAGAAGCCTGACATTGTTCCACATGTATGACATTCTGGAAAAGGAAAAACTGTATGGACAGAAATCAGATCAGTGGTTGCTTGGAGTTGGGAATATACTAAAAAAATTAATTGAAAGGGGATACAAGAGAACTTTTGGGAGTGCTGAAATACTCTCTCTTGATTGTGGTGGTGGTTACATATAAACAGAACTATTAGAAAGCTATGTGCAAATGGTGACTACCTAAATTAATCTAATTTTAAGAAACAGGTGAGAGAAAACAAATTTAACTTTTAACTAGTATATTTCTCTGCTAGCTCTATTAGTTAAGCTAAAATTAAATGTCCCAAGTCAGTTTGCTAAATGCTTTTCCTGACATTCACAGTAAAATAAAGAGCCTTCAAACATATAATGAAATGTGTCTTTGTAGGTAATGTAAACCTTTAGATGAGACATTATTTTAAACTAGGGGTTGACACCTTTTCTTGGTAATGGTACAGACTGCAAATACTTTAGATTTTGAGGGCTCTATGATCTCTGTCACAACTACTCAGTTCCACCGTTGTAGTAAGAAAGTAGCCATAGATAGTATGTAAACGAATAGGTGTGATTATATTCCAATAAAGTTTACTTTACAAAGTAGACATTGCAGGCCATAGGTCGTTGACCCTTGTTTTAGACAATTGCAGAAAGCCATAAAACAGCGGTTACAGCAAAAATTCATGCTGCCTCAAAAAAGGTTCCTTTAATGTATATTTTTTTTCTACTAGGAGTTAAATATGGGCCAGCGATGTTCAGATACAAGAGGAATTGTCTTTGAAGATGTGAGAGTGCCTAAAGAAAATGTTTTAATTGGTGAGGGAGCTGGTTTCAAAATTGCAATGGGAGCTTTTGATAAAACCAGACCTCCAGTAAGTAATATGACTTGATAATCTTTATAGGATCTTTTATTAATTAAATTGAATAGTTTTATGTTTAACATTGTATGCTTGGTGTGTATTTCTTTTTTAATATCTGCTTTATAATTATTCTATATTTTAGAATTCTTCAACTCTCTTACTGCCTGTTACAGAAATTATTTTAGCAAATACAAAATTACTGTAGTTGCTGCTAGATTTACAGAGGCAGTTCACACTTAGTTAATCATTCCTGCTGGTATGTATGTGGGAGACTCCAAAAAACCTGGAATTATCTTCTGGAGGGCAGGCCCCTTGTAGTATATGCTTCCCCTTCTAGGTGAGCGTTCTAGGAGCCCATCTGAATCATTGTACTTGGTGGCTGCATTTGGCTTCAGTGAAATTTTTTTGAAGACTCTTAATGCATTTGCCCATTTCGTGACAGGTGATTTAAGGAGCACACCTGCCCACACCGCGCTGAATGTTTAGCAGTTTTTGACCCAAAATGGCATGAACCCCAAGCTACACCTCCCCAGTTCACCCCATCTTGCCATGAGCAACTTCATTTTGTTTCCCCTGATGAAAAACTCCTCAAAGGGAAACATTTTGCCCATGTGGTAGAGGTGAAACAAAAAATGGCAAAGGTACTAAAAGGCATAAAAAATCGATGAGTTCAAAACTGAGCAGTGGAAAAACAAGTCTTGGTAGGTGTATTGCATCAAATGGAGAGCACTTTGAAGGTGATTAAAGTTTAAACATGTAAGAATAAATAAACAATATTGTATAAATTCAATTTTTGGGGGGATTCCCCCTCATACTCATTTCTTTTTCACTCCTTAGGAATATTTTCCCTAGAAAGCTTTCCTTTGTTAAACTGAAGATATGATTTGTCTCTAGCTATGATCCTGTGCCTTAAAAATGTCTTAAATTAATCTTAAATTCATAAATAATATAAATTTAAAGGCCGTTGTCCTTCTGCTCTCCCCCCACAGTCTTCTTGTTGCCTTAAACTAAGGTTATTTTTTTGTATAATCCTTAATTTAGAATCTTAGGCAAATAGCCATTATACTGTGTGTTTTAAAAATGGGCATGAACTTTTGCTTTGTAAAATGTTACAATGCCAGGTAGCAGCTGGTGCTGTGGGACTAGCACAGAGAGCTTTGGATGAAGCTACCAAGTATGCCCTGGAGCGGAAAACTTTTGGAAAGCTGCTTGTAGAGGTAATTTTAATATTGGCTTGCTTTGTTCAAAAGTAAATGTATTCATTTTCATCTAAATGTTTGAAAATTATCTTTTAAATACAAACTATTTCTGCTTTGATAGCAAGAAGATAATGTGATCTGTCAGGATGAATTTCAAGAATAGATTTTCTTTAGACTGCCACTAACTATTATCTGCTCAGGGAATTGTGTTAATTAAGAAAAAAGAACAGCCAGTATTTACTGAGTGCCTTTTGTACACTTGACACTGTGCTACATATTTTAAACATATTGTCTACTTCTCCCAACACTACGCTTGTTTTTGTAGCATTATAATCTCCATTTAAGATTGGGAAACTGAGGCTGAGAAAGATTAATAATTTGTCCAAGATCACACAATTTATACATCACAGATCCAGGACTCCATTTCATGCTCTTAATCCATGTTCCTTTTCACGTCGTCTTTATTACCATATAATTTTAGTACTAAAGAGTCATGTCTTCCATGAATTTCTAGGGAAATGTTTCATTCTTACCTCTTCAGATATTAAAGAGATATATTATTTGTATTGTCTCCTGTAACTCTCTATAGGTTGTACATTGAACACCCCTTTTTCTGTCCCCATGTGTTAGTCGTTCTCAAACTGATGAAAGATCAGTTTGTTTTTCATTTCCAATTGTAGACATTTTTGTAGATACAAGAATGTCACAACAATATCAAATTGTTATAAAAGTTTTTAAATGTTTGCTCTCACTTTCTATACCATGAACCAGCAACAGTTTGTGGACTGGTTCACAGATCAAATTTGGATTGGCATTGCTCTATGTCCGTTAAACCTCAATTTTATCATTTATCTCTATGCTATATTCTAGGTAATTTTTTTCAGACAGTTTTCCAGTTCTCTGATTCTGTGCCTAATCTGCTACTTAACCGTATCTGTTGAATTGTTTAATGACTTTTTTTATTATAGAATGTATATTCAGTCCTTTTGGTTTTACCCCTTTGTCTTTTATGGTGTCTTAGTTTTTTAACATAGCTTCTTGTTTTTTAACACATTGAGTTTTTGTTTGTTTGTTTGTTTTCTGGGGCTTTTTTCCTGAAATGATTTTTCTAATCTCTCAAATTGTTACCTGAGTATCACTTCTAAATACTGGATGTGATTTATTTATTTTTAAGTGCATTGTATTGTTTATGCTGTTACAGTTGTCCCATTTTTTTTCTCCCCTTTTTCCCCCGCCACCCTGCACCCTGCTTCCACCAGCATTCCCCTGCCTTAGTTTATGTCCATGGGTTAAGTTCTTTGGCTTCTCCATTTCCTATACCATTCTCAACTCCCTCCTGTCTATTTTGTCTTTTTATTTATTTATTTATTTACTTACTTACTTACTTATAAATCATGTTTATTCTATTACAGTTGTCTCAATTTTTCCCCCTTTACCCTCCTCCACCCATCCTACCCCTACCCCCACCCCACTCTCCCACAGTCAGTTCCCACTCTGTTGTCCATGTCCATGGGTCATTCATACATGTTCTTTGTCTAGTCCCTTCCCCTTCTTTCCACCATTGTCCTCTTTCCCCCTCCCCTCTGGTCACTTTCAGTCTGCTCCATGTTTCCATGCCTGTGGTTTATTTTGTTTGTTAGGTTATTTTGTTGAATAGAGTCCACTTATAGGTGAGATGATATGGTATTTTGTCTTTCATCAGCTGGCTTATTTCACTTAGCTTAATAATCTCTAGTTTCATCCATGTTGTCACAAAAGGTAGCAGTTCCATATCTCTCTCTTTCTTTCCTAAATGCAGATTGATTTTAATTTATTTTTTTAAATGTCAAAGTTAATTATATTAAAAAATACTTAAAACCCTTCTAAGGTCTCAGCAATTAAACCAACATGACACCAGCACAGAAATAATCAAGTAGATCAGTGAAATATAATGAACATTCTAGAGACAAACGTATATATCTGTCTAACAATATATGATTAAGTTGATATTTCAAGTCAATGGGTAAAATAAGTCTTGTTCAACAAATAAGGTACATGGACCACTATTACTTGAAATAAAACAAATATAGAGCTCTATTTCACACATTATACAAGAAATATTCAGGTGAGTTAAAAATCAATATGTAGAATCTAAGGAGTTTTCGGAGAAAATACAAACTAACATTTTTCATGACCTGAAGTAAGGTATTCAAACCCAGAAACTATAAAGTAAATATTGACAATATGACTATATTAAACATTTAACTATATAGTAATATATATATATAAAAAGTTAAAGGACCAGGAATAGAATAGAAAAGTATTTGCAACACATCTAAAACATGGTTAATAGGTTTGTTTGGTTTTTTTTTGAAAAAAGTTTTACAAACCTTTAATCAATAAATGGATAAAGAATACCAAAAAGTCATTTAAAGCTTTTTTAAAAAAAATAATAGAAATAGGCAAGAAATATACTAAAACAGGTTTAGTTTCAACAAATAATAAAGGAACAATTAAAATAACATCACTGTCACAATCAGATTAATGAGTGTTAAAAATATTGGTAATACCAAGTATTGGTAACTATGAAAGGAACTGGGTATTCATAGCTCTTTTCCTTCATCTTAAAGCAGTCCCTTTAGCATGTTTTACAATGCTGGTTTGGTGGAGGTGTATTCTTTTAGCCTTCTTTTGTCTAGGAAACTCCTTATTTCACCTTCCATTTTAATTGAGAGCCTTGCTGGGTAGAGCAGTCTTGGTTGCAGGCCTTTGCTTTTCATGACTTGGAATATTTCTTGCCATTCCCTTCAGGCTTGTAGTGTTTCTGTTGAGAAGTCAGCTGCTAGCCGTATCGGGGCTCCCTTTTGTGTTACTACCTCTTTCTCCCTCACTGCCTTTAAGATTCTCTGTTTGTCTTTGATATTTGGCATTTTAATGATCATGTGTCTTGGAGTGGGCCTCATTGGGTTCCTCTTGAATGGGACCTTCTGTGCTTCCTGACTTTTTCTCTTCTCCAATTGGGGAAGTTTTTCTTCCTTATTTTTTCAGTTTCTCTATCCCTTCCTCATCCTCTTCTCTTTCTGGTATCTCTATTATATGGATATTATTCTGTATCAGGTTGTCCCGCATTTCCCGAAATGCCTCTTCATTCTTTTTGAGTCTTTTTTCCTTTTCTTGCTCTTTCTGGGAGCTTTTTAATACCTTGTCCTCTAGCTCACTGATTCTGTCCTCAGCTTCATCTAGCTTACTTTGGATTCCTTCTACTGTGTTCTTCAATTCAGAAATTGTATTCTTCATTTCCTCTTGTCTCTTATTGATAGCTTCTATGTCCTTTTTCATGCTGATATAGTTTGCAGTAAGTTCCTCATAGTTTCCCTGTAATTTTTTGTAATTCTCTCTGAGTTCACTGAGCTTCCTTAGAACCATTGTTTGGAACTCAATATCTGATAGTTTACTTTGCCGCTATTTCATTTGTTCCTCTTTCTGGGTATTCCTCCTTTCCCTTCAAGTGAGGGGTATTTCTTTGTCTTCCCATTATTTGGGGGACTCTTCTCTTTTGCTTCTGATTCTTAAGTTGATCTGTCTTGATTTCCTGACTTTGTGGTGTGAACTTCTATGGTTGGAGACTGCTGTTTTTACTTTCTGTATCTGCCTCTGATGATGTCAGATGTTGACCCTGTCCGACCTTAGGCAGTCTCTTCAAGACTTCCAGTAATCTACTGTCTGTGGCTGTCTCCTTCAGCCGTTAATCTATTCACGCTGCACTCAGCAGGCCGCCTTAAGACAGCTCAGGGCGGGACGGAGTCTCTCCTGGGCGCGGGGTATTGGCTCTTCTCTTGCTGCTTCACTATGGGGGAGGAGTCCGCACTGAGATCCCGCTGGCTGCTCTCTCCGTTCTTTCCCCAAAGCCTCCATCCCCAGTCTCTCCTCAAGTGTTGCCAGACCTCTCTGTGCCGTTTCACCAGGAGTTTACTGTCTGTGGCTGCCAGTCTGCACACAGCAGGCAGCTTAGACAGCAAGGGGTGGGGCTATTGAGTCCTTTGACGCTGGTGCCACTCTGGAGTGGTCTCTGCCTGAGCAAGATGGCTGCTGCCACATGGGGGATGAGTCAGCACTGATATCCTGCCGGCTATTCTCTCAGTTCTCTCCCCAAAGCCTCCTTCCCCAGTCTCTCCTCAGGTGTCTCCAGCCCATTCTGCCCTCGCCTCTGCCAGAGACCAGGGTAAGTGGCTGCAAATAAAAATTTTGCGTTGGCCCTTTAAATGGCTCTTTGCATCTCCAGCCCCCTGTCTCTGGCAGAGAGCAACCCTGCTGCTTTTTGCAGCTGCCTGTTTTCTGTGTACTTTTTGGGCTCTGGTGCTGTGGGCTAGAGATCCCCGCTTTTGGTTTAGACCCCGCTCTTCTCAGGGGGATCCAACTGGCCGTTTCAATATCCTTCTGGTGCTGCTGCCCGTGGGTGCCCCGCCTGCCTTCTCAGGTCTATACTACAGTCCTTACCAGTTAGATTGCGCTAAAGCTGATTCTTCTGTGTCTGAGGTTACAAGGCTCCTCTCTCGCTATTGTTCAGTTATTTGTTCCAGGTGATTTCTCCACAATTTAGTTGCAATTCCAGGTTGGTCCTGGGAGGAGGTCAGTGTGACTTCCACTCACTCCTCCGCCATCTTGATTCTCCTCCCTTCCTGTCTATTTTGTACCTACCAGTTAGGCTGCTTATTCCCTGTACCTTTTCCCCCATTCTTCCCCCTCCCCCTACCCACTTATGACCCTCCGTGTAATCTCCATTTCTGTGATTCTGTTTCTATTATAGTTATTTGCTTAGTTTGTTTTTTGTTGGGGTTTTTTTTTAGGTTCAGTTGTTGATACTTGTGAGTTTGTTGACATTTTACTGTTCATAATTTTTGATCTTCTTTTTCTTAGATAAGACCCTTTAACATTTCATATAATAAGGGCTGGGAGATGATGAACTCCTTTATCTTTACCAAGTACTTTATCTGCCCTTCCATTCTAAATGCTAGCCTTACTGGGTAGGGTAATCTTCG